TGTGGTGTTGTTTAACAAAAGCAGTTCAGTTTTTACAACCAATAGGACACACCACTGGTACCTCCTACTGTATTTTTGCTCATGCTTATGACCCCTTGCAGTATATAGGAAATCAATCTGTTTTCACACTCATCTCCTCCTTATAAGAGGCACTGCATCACTTGTGCTCACGCTTTATGTGAGAAAACAGCTGAGGATGAGCATTCTGGGTAACTGAGGACTGTTGGAGTAAAACGCTGATCAAAACACCCTGAGAATAAAAACTACCAAGTGTTTCCGAAACTGAAAAAATCAATCCAATTTCACATCTAAACTGTTGCTTTTAATAAAAATAGCAGCATTTATGTCCAGATTTAATTCTCTTATTCTCTGTGGTAGCCCATCGTCTGAGCGGTGTATCCATGACAACTGAGCACTATATGATCTGTGTTCAGCCACACTTAGTGTCAGTTTTTAGTCTAAGTCTGAAAATAAAAAGAAATACATGATATCATAATATAAAATCTCATATTTAGACTGGCAGGTGTTTTTATTCTGAGACAAAGCATCCGTCGTGCAGCTTTCTTTCAGCAAACAAGAGCATGATCATCTGCTCTCACTGTGATTTAGATATCCTTACTGATGCATCCATTAATCCATTTGCTTTTTCTTTTTCTGACCCAGAGGAGGGGTCTGGAGTCTGTCTTAGATGTCTACCGCCCAGAAGCAACATTTACACTGGATAGGCTATCAACCCTATCACAGGGCAAGGTAAGGCACATTCACAATGCAGGTCCATTCCAGGAAATGATCCAGGGATCAGTAAAAATTAGAAATTTAAACCATTTAATTTGACATAGATTTTTTTCACCAAGCCCAATTATGTCATGAAGTTGCAAAATATTGTTTCTGGGCCAGCATTGCTCCATTATCCTTATCAAGAAGAAAAAATAAAAAAGCACACAGAAGAAAGTCCATATTCAAAAGAATTGGTCAGAACTAAACCAAACACAGGCCTTTGACAGTGCTGGGGTTTCTGTTTGTAAAACACTTTTTTTTGTTTTTTCATGACTTATTTTGTTTTCTTTCCTTTCTACTCACTTCGGCTTTTTTACATCCTCTTTTCCTTCCTTTGGTATATCGAACAGGCATGCGTTTATAATGCAAGCGAATGACTCTGGGGTTCAGTCAAACTGAACCAAAACTGGCAACGGTAACCAGGCCAGGGTTAGGTTTTCGGGTTAGTTTAAGGGTTTGTGATGGTGGCACACTGGTGTGATCGGCTCCAGACAACAGACCCTAACAAAGCATAAATCAGCTTAGCACAATCGTCACATAACAATAACCAACAAATCCAACAAGTTTTTTTACAACATGACCCAGAACAAGCGATGATTTTAGCATACATACTGGGATTTGATCCATATGCTGTAGTCTTCTGAGACTTCCGCATTAACTTCTGGACTTCCATGCTGCTCTGACAGATGTTCCTGTCCCTGCTAACATTAAGCATCCCCGCTGCATATTGCTGCCACCAGTATGTTTCACAGTAGGAATTGTGTGTTCAGGATGATATGCAGTGTTTCTCTTTTTAAACTTTTTTCCACACACGGCTTTGAGCGTTTTATTATCTGTCCCATTTTAGTCTCATCTGACAAGAGCACTTTCTTCCGCATGTGTGCTGGGTCTTGTGGAGAAATTTAAAGGATACCTACTTTGTCTCCTTTCCAAGAATGGCTTTTCTCTTTCCATTCTTTTATAAAAGTAAAATTTGTCTAGTGGAAGACCTGTAGTCGTCATGATGGCAGATTTTCCCTCCTGAACGATGGATCTCCGCCGGTCCTCCACTGATACCATGGGCCCATTTTCTGTTTCTCTGCTTGTTGCTACTCTTGCCTGGACTGTCATTAAAGTACTTTGGAGTACTGCAAACCATTAAAGGATAACGTCAAAAGCTGAGGTTTGACCAGAAAGTTTCTGGAGGAGTGTCTGACAAAAACCAAAAGAAATATATATATATTTATTTTGATACTGGCTCACTCTGGTCATTTGTTTTATTGATGCACCAGGATAATCCAGTTTTTTGGTTGTTTTGAATTGGGACACTCTGCAACAACATGATAATCAGTTATTAACATCTCAAACAGTATGCATAGTGAAATAGCACATGTGGAATTCAGAAATAGGACACCTCCTTTTATGATAATGATTGCTTATCATTTCTCAATTACCCAATTCCTACCATCTCTCTGGATCCTGCAGCTAAGAAACCAGATTAAGAGCTAATTAGTGGGTTTGATGAAAGCAACTGGACCCATTTGAGGGAGGAAAGTGCTTCTTTCTTTCCATGTGCGGCTCAGTTTTTTTTGTTCATATTGTAATGATGATTTATAAAGCTTTCATTCTATTATTCAGTTTTTATGTCTACATATTTGTAAATATACAATCTTAATGTGCTTGGTGTGAATAGATCAATGCATAAATTTGTATTTTCCTGTTTCTGAGTTACTGAGTACTGTCTTCTGTGATTTAACAGCAAATAAATGTCTTTATAGCCCTAAAATATATCATTTTATTTATTGATTTATTCTGAGGGCAAGAAAATGTACCTGATTCAGAAATGCATTAATGTGACTGCCTGTGGCTGAGTCAGTGTTTCTGACAGGAATGCTTCTCGTGCAATTGTTGTCTTCACCTTGTGTTCTTTCACGCGCACAGCTTGAGTCGCCATTTGTGAGACAGTGTGCTTCTGGTTCTGACATTACATACATGACACATCCCTCCATCTATACTTAGTAGGTGTTTGTGACAGATTCATACAGTGCCACCAATGTTTGCCACCATAGCTGGTAAAAACTTACAAAAACAAAAATGCATATGCTATTTCAACAGCATGAACCCAACCTCAAAACCTTTAAAAAAAAGCCAAACCTTTCATTTTTAGGACATTTGATGAAACACTGAAACACAGAGGTAAAAAATATTAACCATGCAGGCACTCACTCATACATAAGGGTACATTAGAGCCAGAAGTGAACCATCTATATTTTTGCGCATAAAGAACTCACAGGTGTACAAAGCAAAGATGTGAGCTGAATGTGAAAAGAGGCCTGGCTGGGTTTTGAACCCATGACCTTCTTGTTGCAAGGGAAAAATGCAAGAAAAAAATATGCAAAGGCATTCAGGTTTGTTGCTATTTTATTAAGTCAACATAAAAATGTGTTGGCTTCGCATAGTTGTGCCACAATGCGTATAAATAATGGCCATTGTTCTGCCAATGTCAACTGAAACTTTACACTGGAATTTTGTTCTGCAATCAGATGGGAAAGATACTTTTTTGGTAATAAATTACTTCCAGCTTGGATGTGAAACAGAGGATGAGTATGTGAAAAAGCACCCCACTGGGCATGTTAAGTATGGTGAAGGATCTGCAATAATGTGGGCTTGCAAAACCATTGAATTATTGCTATAGTGGGTGGCCTTCAGATCCATTTCAAATATCAGAATGTTCTCTGTTACAATCTGGTGGACTCTGCTAGTAAACTAAAAAAAAAAGGTCATCACTGAGTGTTTCTGGAGAGCAGTATACAAAATATGACCACATCACAACCGAAATCCTTCATCAAACAAAATCTCCCTTCTTGCAGTGACCATGTAAATCTAAAGATCTAAATATCGAAGAAAACCAGTGGAATTACCTGAGAATAAAAGAGAACCTAGGAATCTGGACACCCTTACATTAACTCAGGGGTCCTGATTGCGCACTGAGGATTGTACAATTCAATATGACTGGCTGGATGTGCTCTCTTCATCCTCTGACATGGGAGTTGGCTCAGAGCTCGTCTGCCTGGCTGTGTGTTTCCTGGACGGAGCTGCCTTTTACAGTTGCTTTTTATATCTCTGCTTCTCTCTCCTTGAACCCGAGTCGGCTTCGGCAGATGGCTGCTCACACTGAGTCTGGTTCTGCTGGAGGTTTCTTCCGGTTAAAAGGGAGTTTTTCCTCTCCACTGTCGCTGCAAGCATGCTTAGTGTGAGGGATTGCCTTCAAGTCAATGAGTCGATGCAATCAACTGTTTTTTTCTTAAATAGAAAACTGGTGAACTGTAAAGTGCCTTGAGATGACATGTGTTGTGAATTGGCGCTATATAAATAAACTGAATTGAATTGAATATTGTTGAACCTGTTCATCACAGCTAGTCACCCATTTTTTTTTTTTTTTTTTTTTTCTATTTTTTTTTTTTTTTTGCAGAAATCAAGGCTAATTTAATTTGTTGTAAATTTGTAGTGGGGGATCCATCCAAACCCTGTTTCCCACGAAAATAAATAAATAAACTCTTGCAATACTTTTTAAATGTATTTTCTTTTTTCATTGTTTGTGTAGTAATTTTTTGTTTTTTATTTGGGCAATGAGTCTGTAATCTATTATAGACTAATTATCTATCTATCTATCTATCTATCTATCTATCTATCTATCTATCTATCTATCTATCTATCTATCTATCTATCTATCTATCTATCTATCTATCTATCTATCTATCTATCTATCTATCTATCTATCTATCTATCTATCTATCTATCTATCTATCCATCCATCCATCCATCCATCCATCCATCCATCCATCCATCCATCCATCCATCCATCCATACATACATACATACATACATACATACATACATACATACATACATACATACATACATACATACATACATACATACATACATACATACATATATATATATATATATATATATATATATATATATATATATATATATATATATATATATATATATACATATTGGTTAAAACGTTTAAACAAACAAGCAAACAAACAGGTTTTATATAGAATAGGTGGAATTATAAGAATAATATACACGAGTAAAAAAAAACACAGCATAAATGTCTATTTCCTAAATATAATAAGTTTTGTTTTGGACCAAAGTGACATGTAATGAACTACACTACCCAGAATGCGCTGTGGAATATAAATAGTAACTGGATAGGCGTTCCCGTGGTGACATGTGGAGGAGGTAAGAAGAGGATTGTTGCCGAGGACTCATTGAGCTGTCAGAGATAACGCCGCTCAGCGACTCTTACCTACCTGGACTTTCACTGCCATGGACTAAACCCGCTGTGGAAATGATCCCGTGCTGACCCACTTCCTCTCGCCTTTCTTCCTCCCGCTCTACCGCGTTCTCTCATTCCTGCCAGGTATAAACTCCTTCTCCGTATGTAGTTTTTCCAGCTCGCGCGCTGTTCATGATATTTTGTTTTTTCCCACAGAGATGACAGCATCCCTCTTGAGGAAGTAGCCCACGCGCTCATTTGTTTCTGCCGCTGGCTGCAGCTCGTGCGCTGAAACGATACTTAAATTAGCCGAGAGAAGATTAAACTCTGTGTATTTGCTATTTATCTGCACGCTCCAGTTCTAGTTTAAAGGCGTTTAAATGAACACGTGTTTACATCCCTCTGTAGGTAGAGAAAAACAATCAAACAACTAAGTTTGTATGTGTGTGATGTTCAATGGGTCGTCAGGATCTATGTAAATATAACCTCTAGCTCCACACATGAAGTTTAGATCAACCGTTTGCTGTATTTATTTGTTTTTAACTGTATAATATGCTGTGAAACATATTCAGCACGTAAAGTTTAGTGCATAACCACAGCTGGGTTGACCCTCAGCCTGCACACAGCCTGACCCAAATTAAAGATGAATTGGTTTCACGCAGATAACATTAGCACAGTCAACACAGAAATAAAATATGTAATTTCTCAGCTCCTTTTGGTTCATTTCTAAACATAAAGCTAAAGTGCCAATGTTGAATGAGCAGTTTTCTGGCTCTAAGCTGAAGATTTGACAGAAACATGTGCCACACTTTTTATTTTCTTCTTATTTTCTGTGTAAGAACTGTCCATTGTCTGTTTTATTTCCTGCTAAAATTACTTGCTAAAATGTTAAATATATATATATATATATATATATATATATATATATATATATATATTGTTAAGTTAAAAGATTTGGATGTATAATGTGTTTTTTATGTCCTGTTAATTACGATTTTAAATGAAAACAAGAAAAAAGCCATAGGAAGGTAAATAACATTAATAAACTCAAATTAATTGAGGCTCATGACACTTGCCTCTTTTTGACATATATTTATCTAAATTTTAGAAGACAACAAATCAAACCTTTTGTTACATGATGCTAATATTAGGTTTTGTTCTTGGATTGATCTACCGATGAATATTCTCTCTATAAAACATGCAAACTCAGTTTTTGTCTACTTATTTAAATCTGATTAATATATATCATTCAGGTATTTTAACAGAGGCAATGGTTTTGAATGCAATTCTGCCTCATGTCGTTAACGTTTTGGATCTCGTCTCTTATGTTGTAGGTGAATCAAAGTGGAGAAACCATGTCGGACAAAATGTCTAGTTTCCTCCACATTGGTGACATTTGTTCCCTGTATGCAGAGGGCTCCACCAGTGGATTTATCAGCACTTTGGGGTAAGAGCTTTCATTCTAATGTCACTGCCTTCACTTACCTCGATTTGTGAAGTACCCGTAAAGATTTCTCCACAAATTAAACCTTAGATGGTGTTTTGCAGGAGCCTAGAATAGCACAGAGTGGCCACAGTGACCCATGTTGAGAGTGATAACATGATTGCATGTTGAGCAAAAGATGCTAATGCAGTAAGAAAGAAGCTTTCTCTCCACTCAGTAATGTTCCAATGTGGTTTCAATGTTAATTTTTGCGTGAAGACTGGTGCAGTCGACTACAGAATTAAACTGCAAAGTGTATCCATCCAATATCTAAGTGGGGTTGTGATAAAGTAGTATTTCGTTGAGCTGTAGTTTTCAGTAGTGGTCGTTACTTGATGTAACATCTGGGCTGATAGTAAAATAAATACATATATTTTCTGTTTTTTTAATTTTATTTAAAAGATCTAAAATTGGTTTGTTGTTGTGTTCTTTGTAATCCTTTGTACATTCCTTTTATTTCTGTGTTCATTTAGGTGGGTATTTGCCATCTCGCCTCAACCCTAATTGTAGGAACAGAGTTAAAAGTGCATCTCATTATGTAAAAATGGAACAAACTGTGTCATGTAATTAGCCGTCAGACTTATTTAGAAGCAGGGAGGGGAGCAGAGTGTGATCAGTTCTAGATTTTCTTTCCCTCTTAATTCTTGTCTTTGTTCTACCATCCAAAACCTGGCTTATGATTAAAATGTAGCCAGCATCTATGTTATCACGTCCTCCCATACCTTCTCAAGGAAAGACAGACAGGCACTCTTCCTCCTCTTGCTGGATAACAAATGTGTCACTCACCAGTGGCTGCATCAGGCCCTGTTATTCTCAAGGTTTCAGAAGCCATGCTCCTTCACAGCTTAGTGCTTTACATCAACCAACAAAGCAACACATGTGTTCACAGCTTTGATGACTGCTAACATGACGGGGCTCATTTGTTAAACTTCCCATTTTCTACTTTCATGTCTGTTATCACCATACACTGTTGTTTTGAAAGCGCACGGTTTGTAGGGCCTTCAGTATCTAAAAATAGCAGCACTGTTTTGTATTCAGTTTTGCTTGTGCTGTCAGCAATTTGAAAGTGACCCCAAATGGGCACCTGCATCCACCTGGTTCCCTCCTGGCAACCCAAGCTTTGATGCAGAAGGCCGACACAACCTTCTCATTGACCCTGGATAAGAGGGAGTCTTAAAACACCTGTGTTTATTGGACCTCAGCCCATTACTGCATCAGTCTTATCATATTGCAATGTAGTAGTACTCTGCGGTATAGTGAATGAGTAGCAAAAAGATATTATTGTTTAAAGCACCACAAGTATTCCTAAAAGGCTTTATTTGTATTAAAACTTGTTTGAAATTCATTGGAGATGGATTTCTAACATAATTATATTCAGGCTTTATTTATATGTTAAAAAAATTATTTAAGAAGAGACATCTTGCAATGAATAATTGAAAACAAATATTTGCATATGCTGCATAAAAGGGCAAATTTTCTCTCATTAATTCTAATTAACCAAAAAAATAAATAAAAAATTCAGTTTTACAAAGTGTCTCTATCTACTTTTGCTTATTTGAGATCAGGTTTCTGAAAGCTCATTTTTGGAGAATCCATGGCATTCCCTGAGCTTTAGTCCTCTAGTGAGTTCTAGGTCTTCACCTGGGTCTCCTCCAAGTGGGGCATGTCCAGAATGCCTCACAAGGGAGGCTCCCATGAGGTATCCTGATAGGGTGCCTGAAAACAAACTCCTCATGGTGCAGAAAAGCGGTAGCTCTACTAAACCCTCTCCCTGGACGACAGAGAGAGCCCCTCATCTTATTTAAAGCCTGAGCTGGTAACCCTACAGGAAAAGCTGATTTTGCCACTTGTACCAGGAATCTAAGTCCTTGGATTATGCATTAAAGTTCAATAAATACTTAGATTGTAAGAGAAGTTCAGATTAAATGGATCAACAAAACTATCAAATATGTATCTCAATTTTGGAAGCTGTGCACAGTCAGACTGATTTTTAGAAAGTAACTATACAATTTGCAGGATCAAGGCTCCCATCACAATAGAATTAGCAGTTTGGTCAGGATGAATAAAACATCCCTAGGTATTTTGAGAAAAACTACATCAGGGAACGTGGTATTGTGAAATTTTCACTCTGTTTTCATCAAGTTAACAATCATTTTGAACCCAGAGAAAAGTTTTCAATCTAGATTAGAATTTTCAGAGATGGTTTTAGTTCCTTCAGCTGAGATGTTTCAGACTTTTGTTGCCATGGAAAGTTGGTCTAAAAAAAGACTTTTTATGTATACATTATGTCAATTATCACAAGCACCATTGCAATATCATTCTGTGCAATACAATCATTTTTGGCAGGCTCTCAATAGTTAAATGAAAAATGCAGACCAATCAAATATTAAGACCGGTTCATGCCTTATATGGCAACGTCTGATTTACATGATAGTTGTTAAAGCTAAATCTAAATGTCGTGGTTAGTGACTGCGACGTTCTGATGGCAGAACAGAAACAAGGGTCACAGATGTATTTTTAATGGTAACTAATAAAATAATCATAATAATAATAATATTGGATTTAGGACTATAATTCCTCCAGTTTATGTAAGCTCAGACTGACCCATATTTTTGTTGGTGCTCTGCATTTGGAGAACAGGTCCCTGATAGGTATGCATTTCCTTGTTATGCAGTCACCAGTTTGCACAACCTGTAAAACAAGTACATGTCACATCACAAGCTTTCAGAAAAGCCAAAGAACAGTTTCTCCATAATTCGATATGAACTTTAGAACCCTCCACAACATAAGTGATGAGCTGTTTAAAGTGTTAAACCTTAACTGAGGGGTGCTTAGTAATTTTTCCTGCCCCTTGGAGATTTAGATAGAACAAGAAATGAGTATTTATGTTTTGTTTACAAAATTACAAAAAATATTCTGAAATAATTTTTTTTTTTTTTTTTTTATAGGGATTTTTTCTAGGGGTGTCCTGATACTACTTTTTAGTTTCAGATTAAATGCTGATACTGCAGCTTTGAAAATTGTCCGATACCGATATTGACCTGATAAAAATTTTGGCACATATCACACCAGCGCTTATTACTTATTGTTAGAAAACTCATAAATTAATATCACAAAAGTCAACAACAAAAGGTATGGAAACATGACTCACAGAATGACTTACAGAAACTGAAGCAGAGTCCTTCTTTCAGTTTGAAAATATCTAAGATGTTAGATGCTGGCTGATAAAATTTAATGTCAGTTTTTTGGCTAACATTGGACCGATTACATCAGATCTTTGTCAGTGAGCTCCAAGTCTCCGAAGATGGAAGCCCCCCCTTACCATCACCCTAATCTTAGGATACCACAACAGTTTCAGGTTTTAAGCTCAGGCAGGGCCGCTCCAAAACATTAAGTCATTTAAGTGAAGGGAAACATGTTGATAGAATAAAAACCTTCATTTTCCTTTCGTATGAATAGTTTTGATCTTAATTGAATGTGCCAATTTACTCAACTTATATTTATACATTTTGTTCTGGAAACCAATAAGAATGGGAGAATTCATAGCTTTAGGTTAGTGGGAATTATTCTGACAACATACTTTAGGTGCCCGCTGCCTCCCTAGCGCTTTTACGATAGAAGTAATTTAAACTGTTTACTAGATTGGATTTTGAAAATTTCTTGTTATTTTTGCAATGCCTTCTGGAAATGTGTTTGCTGACGTATTTAAAAAAAAAAAATTTTTTTTGATTTTTATTATTTTATTTCATTTAGAAAACAAAGGATGAAAATCTTGGTGTCGATTCCCAAAGGAATGTTTTAACATAATAAATTACAATGTAAATATGCTTAAAATATGGCTAACCATATGTGCTCTAAGTTAAACAAAATTAGGTTTTAATCAGTTTATCCTTTGTAAATTTGACTGTTTGAGAAGAAACTTTAGCTTTAAGAATTTGGAAGGTAAAGTTTCAATATATATATATATATATATTAAGTGTTTAATATAGTTAACTTGTTGCTGTATTTTTTGTCATTAGACAGTTCCTTTGGAAGACTAAATTGATTAAAAAGCAACCGCTTTGTTAAAGTGATGTTTTTTTTTTACAAGATTTGCTTTGAGTATGAAAACAAAAAGAACAAACTGTACATTTGACTTGGTATTTTCTTAACTGTCAGTCAAGTTAACAATGCCACATACATCATGAAATTTCATTGCAGTGACTCAGGGTGTGAAACAAAGCACAGGGTAATTTTGTAAGTCAAATGAGCAGCATTGCTACCCCTACAGGAGTAGAAAAATATGAGAAAAAATATACTTTTGTAAACATAGGATATTTTGCATATGAAAACAGAGCCTATATTAATTCAGGTTCTACTGTAAGGTAAGAAGCTGTGTTTGAACCTTGTGGTTCTGCTCTGCAGGCTGCATTGTCTCTTCCCAAAGTTCAGAACTTAGAACGGTTTGCAGTGTGGGTGGAAGGTGTACTCACTGACTTGAGCGCTCTTCAGGTACAGTTTTGAATTAAGAATGCAGGATTAAGAAGCCTGGACAGATTGTTTTATCTTGATGGCCTTTTCATTCCACAGTGAGTCTAAATCAGTCTAAACTGTATCATAAAATCAGTTTGAAGTCTTTCTGGATCTGACCTACATGTTCCAAACAATCAAATAAATGATTTAAGTTAAATAAATTAGTTAAATCATAGTAAATATCTCTTATAAATAACTACGTATGCTCTCTCTCTCTCTCTCTCTATATATATATATATATATATATATATATATATATATATATATATATATATATATATATATATATATATATATATATATATATATATAAATTATACAGCAATGTTTCTGCTGTCACATGTTGTTAGATGTACTTGATGTAACCTATACACTTAAAGAATACAAATAAGATTCCCATGAATGTAAGTTATACTCAGAAGAGATCATTTATTTTATATTTTAAAAGTGTATTTTGTATAGTATGAGCAGTGAATGTGTTAGTTTTAGTTGATAGTAGCAACATTTATTATCCTATTATCAAAATAATTACTGTAAGCTGGATGTGGCTTCATTAGAGGTTGAAAGATTATCTGCCTGGTGCTGTTCAGTAATGGGCTTACAGATTTTCTTTCTCAAAATGCAAAGGTAACGCATGGTCTGGATAGTGCATCCTTCTAACTCGGGTAGATGTTTCATTTCATTTCATAAGTTGCACTGTTAGAGATTTTTGTTTTTCTTTTTTTTTCAGTTGAGCGCATATGGAACAAAAAGATGCTAAAGGCACTGCTGCAGTTTATGTCCCTCCAACACAGCACGTTTAAGCAGTGTTGCTTTTAGCCAAGAACAATATTTTTCCATTGCATTTGTACCCAAAGTAATTTGATTTGTTTAAATAAGTGGGCTTTTATTCTGCTGTTCGATTTTTCTACCAGGATATTAAGGAAATGGACTTTCTGGTAGAGAGAGGTGGGGAGAGGCATACAAACATGTGATTGAATGAGAGTAGCATGACTTTAGAATATATTTTATTTAAGCCAAGTAAGACTTAAAGTGTTCAGTAAAAAGGATACTTAAGTACTTGGTACTGCTTTTAATCTGATTTAGTTTGTGATGTAATTGTACAGAAAGAATCCAAATTTGTCCACATGTTCTGTTGCTTTGAATGATGGAATAAGAATTATTTAAAAAATCAAAATCTTTTTTTTTTTTTTTTTTTTTTTACATAAATCTTTATCTATTCTGTAGGTAATCTATTGACCTGAATATTAAAACAGGTTCACCTGACCTTGGAATGACACAATATGCTCAGCAGATTGATAATAATATGGAAGCAATTAGGGATGTGTACAAACCAGTGGTCTCACTTGACAGACCAGTGAATATGTATCTGGTGCATTTTTGGTGAAAATTTGTACTTATTCTTAATAACTCAAGGTGGGTAGAAAGGCTAGAGGATTTGCTTTTACTTAAAGGATAGTTGCTTCACATGAATGCTCAATTAGACGTAAAAGAATTAATATGATAAAGTAAAACTACTCCCTAAAGGACTTCTTTTCAAAAAGTTACTCAGATCCATGTTGTGTTGAGGGCTTCAGGGCTAGACATCCGAGCAGTGCCTTAGAAGTTTGGCCAGGAGATCCCCTCGTACTCTTATTATTACTAATATTTTTTGTATCAGATCTTGCATTTCATATGTTTGATATTAAGTAGAATATTTTAAGTCAGCCAAGGATGCAGCTCACTGAAGTGTTTGCAAACTGTTTTAAGTTTAACATGCTTGATGGTTGATTTTAGATTTTTAAGCATATGTTCTCACTCATGATAACTTTGTCTTTAGGCTTGTGGATGACCGTTGTGTTGTTCAGCCAGATGCAGGGGACCTCAATAATCCACCCAAGAAGTTCAGAGGTAAGGACAAGCTCTCATTCACACTCAGATTATTCATAGTTAGATTCCGTAAAGAATGACTATCAGCTGTGTCTGTTCTAGGTAATTTCTTACTTTCTTTTTAAATAAAGGCATTTCATTTCTTTTTCTGTTTCGCTGGAGTTGGCCTTTTATTCAGCTTAAAATATGCTTAAAAATAACTTGGAAACTCCACAGTATTGCATAAGGGCTGCCTTGGTTTAAGGACAGCGTGAGTTTTTCAGATGCATTGTCCGCAGCTCTTTAAACGCTTAATCGATTTATCCATGCTGGTTCAAAAGTGGTTCCAGACATCAGACTTCACATTTACACTGTAAGGGTCCAGTCTAACCTTTTGGTTCTTGTAATATTAGGTTGGCAGTCAGCCTCACTCTGTTAAGTCTTTTTTTCTCTCTTTTCAAACCTTACTCTTCCCTCTAAAAGATGTAATGTCAATGATCTGGTTCTGGTGCTCCTGCTTTAAAAAAACATTGTTTTAATTTGCTTTGCACCATTTTATAGTTTATTAGAGATCTGTCTAAGTGCTGTTTGGGCCATTCACAATTAATTATAGTGTTTGTGTTAAACAGAATAATTGTATTAAACTTTCACTGGCATCTCATCTTTTTTTACATGGTTCATAACCTTATTGCCTGTCACTGTCTTTTAAGAGTTTTTTAGGGAGTTATTAGGTAGGTCAGTGAAAAAATTAGTAAACATAGATCTTTATTTTTTTTATTTTTAGCAGCAGCACTTATTTAGTTTCTTTGATGTGTTAAATTTAATGCGAATCCTCATCTGCTTCTGTTTAAGTGATGTTCTGATAAGCTGATGGACGATACACAGAATAAAGTGAAATTAGTCAGTTAGAAGCTGAAAATCTCACATAAAAATGTTTATCAAACTTGAAGTAACCGGTATTAAAAACCGATCAAAGGGTCTTAAGTAAGTAAAAAATTGGTGCATTTTACAATGAAGCATATTGCATTAATAGTTTTTTAAAAGTTGTAATTGCTTATGAAATTCAAATTGTTGTATTTAAAAGTCACCCCTGTCTAATCCAAGCATAGGACATAGCAGCAATGTCACAAATCAGACAGAATGAGAGACACTTTGAAAAGGTGAAACATTTGCTTTTAAAGTCGTAGGGAAGTCATATTTAAATGTCAAATCATTCTGGCTTAAACATTTATTTAAATGTGCTCTTTATCACATGATATTGTCCCAAAAGTTACAAAATTTCTATTTAAAAAAAAACCTGGCTTAAAATCTGTGTTTATGGGTTTTTTTTTTTTTTTTTTTGTCATGTTATGCAGGCCAGTTAGTTATACGTCAGCTTGTACACCTTAATTTGCCCAAATATATTAACGGTCATCTGTCAATCAAATTTTTTTCAGTCATCGCATCTTGATTCATTTGTTGCAGCTAATGTACGCAACGAATGAAATAAGAATAATTTACTTTGCCAATAAGTTATGTCACAGTGATGGACGTCTGTGTCTTCGGCAGGCGTAGAGCTAACATAACTGGCAGCGTTACAAAGCAAGGTCTCAAACATGTAAGCCTTCTACACCAGACCAAGCTTCTGCCGCCCTGGCTTCCTCTTCCACAACAACTTCGTCCCCATTTTCCTCCTCTAAATAAAAAATGTATGATGGAGGAGACTCATCTACGAACTCCTACACAAAACTATCCTCCTTTTGCATGTTTCCGCTGTCCATAGCGTTCCTTGACAGTGTCATTGCTAAGTTCTACTTGGTCCCAATGTAATTTCCCACTGGGAACCTACAAGCACTAAGTTGGTAACTGGTTTGCAAGGTGCTTCTGAGACAGCGGCCACAACCAAACTTGCTTGAAAACCTGCAGCCACAAAAATCCCGCCCCATTGATAAATGACAAATCACATTAACTTTATGCGCTCGTGTAAAGTCGGGCCCCACTCGGGAGAATTCGGAAATACAACCATTGGAACAGCCGCTTCCCTCGACTTTACACATCCGAGGAATTAAAAATGAGGCTTGATTCATTTCTTTATGCACATGATCATAAAGTTTTTCTTTTTGCGGGTTCTAGGTTTATTTATGAGACACATTTTGCTGTTGAACTTCTAAAGCAATAAACAGTAACACCTTTTTTTAATGTAAGACTATTTGATGATAGATTCTTTTTTGCATAGCTCTTTTTTTCTCTGAAAAAAGTGACAGGTAATAATAAAAAAAAGTTTGGAAAAACACAACTTTCTTTCTTTCTGCCTTAGACTTTAACTGTCATTAAATAAGTTTTTTAGCTGCACTCTTCTTCCCTCTCTTCTACACCTTTTTTGTTTTTCATGGACAACAGAGATCTGCAGGAGTTGGCAGATCAAAGAGATAATAGCTGCCACAACAGCTAATAAAGTCCATCTTTCTCTGGAAACATTATTGTTTGGGTAATCAATCACTTAAATTCAATTTGGAAACCCCAGATTAAATTAACAAACATTAACAAAGGATGATTAAAAATATTTGTCCTACACCAACAAGTGTTGTGAGTCGTTTTATTAAGGACTTTGAATATCTACTTTAGGTGTTTGGATCAAGATGCAGCAGTTTATTGATTATAGAGAAATCCTGCTCCTTTGTAGCAGCTGATATGGGTGAACGAAAAAGAGATTAAAGACGACTGTAAGGAATATTTGCTTTAGCGTGATATTCTTATAGAACGTAGTTGTTTGGTTATTTTAAAATAAAGCAGTAACTGATCAAAAATAAAGCGCAAATCAACTTGCTAGAAAAACAATATTTAGTACATACTTTATCTTATTAAAACAAATAAAGATGTAACAGTACTCAATAGGAACTCTTAGAAGTATGGTTTTGTTCATTTTCCTCAGTGCTGTAAACGTCTGGGATTTTTTTCATCTACACAAATTGAAATTTGAGGATCAAATAATGGGACTTGATGGGACTCTGTTGTGGTTTATAACAGTGTTATTCTCTAAAATTCTGTGGTTGACAAGTGCCCAGAGCTGTTCAGCGGAAGAAAGGCTTTTAGCTTGCATGGATTTTTTCCAGGAATTCAAACGGCTGCATTCCGTGTGTTCGACAGAAACACCAATGCTTCATATGCTTTAGGGTTTGCTTTCATATCAGCCAATGCTGCACCAAAAATATTTATCAGAATAAACGTGTACATTTTCATTAATTCTGCAAGGATGAATTTTCTACCCCATGCAGTTTATTAATCTCTGACGGCCATGTGTGGAATACGGTAATCTGACGGTAATCTATTTTTACTGTGAACTAATCTAAATGCAGACAAGAGAAGATGCACTGTTGAGTAGTTTGAGGTCAATGATAGTTTTAAAAGTTTATTTTTAAGTGAGTTACTACAGCAACCTTCTTCAAGATTTTGTGAGTTTTAACAGTCCTGTTAAACTTTAGAAAGTAAATTTAACTGCATGACAGCATTCCTACACAATGTCTGCAAAGAGCTTGAAGAACATCAAAGGAGAGTGTTAAAAAGAACAACAAAAGCCTTTCAGTAAGAAAGTACTGAAAAGTTTTCCCTCACAGTCAATGCATAAAACCAACCATCACCCAAATGGATATTTGTGCTTTAAATCACAATTTGAATTTCCTTTAAATAATTTTGGAGCACTTACTGAAAACTGCATGTTTCAAACATGTTGTAGTGATTTATTATTACTTTAGGTTGTAAAAGAAGAGCAACTTACCTTAACTGCATTTAAGTGAAATATTTGCTGAACTGACGACACAAAATGGAACTTTAATAAAACGTGTTTGTCCTTCTACATCTAGTGTAACACTAGCACCGTTTCTGAACCTAATAAGAACCTAATATTACCTAATAGTGACACTCAGCTTTGGTGGTGCTTTGCTGTAGTTACCCTAACCTCAAACACGTTGGTTTTGCTGTAGAATAATGACCCAAAGTGCACAAACAACCTTACAGTAAACAATAAGGTATGAATTAAAATATTTTTTTTAGTGAGGGGGGGGGGACTAATTCACAGTCATCATTTTTATTGAAGGCTGTTGCCAACAATGGTGTTGCATTAAGTTTCTAGATGTATTGAGTGATTAGTATTTCACTGGAGGGTATATTTGCATAGCTTTTTATTTTGTCATTATTTGACAACTTGATTTAGCAATTACTCAAGTTTGAGCTTATATCTGACCAAAAAAAAAAATGAAACAAAATAACATACAGGGCAAATTATTTTTAATAACCACTCCATTCAAATCAAACTTCAGTAAATAAGGATACTTTTTAAGTTATTTTCTTAGTAACACTTCATAGTAATAAATAAAAGAAATATGCAGATTAACTGCATCGTGACTGTTTTCAAGTTTTTATTTCTACTGGTGTTTGTGTAGCGTAGTGGTCATCACGTTGTCCTCAGATGCAAAAGGTCCCAGTTTTGAATCCTGGCAAAAGCAGTCTTCTGGGGTAAATATCCATTGGACATGAGTTCTAAGCATATACTCAATTTGTCAGGGAATCACACAAGGTCTGTATTGTTGTCCAATTTTACGTGGGGAGTGGCGGCCTAGTGGTTAGGACATGGAGCTTGGAATCCTGAGGTTGTGAGTTTGAAATCCACTCCCACAGACTGCCACTCTGGCTCTTTGAGCAAGATCCATAACCCCTGATTGCTCTCCGGGGCGCCGCACAATGGCAGCCCACTGCTCCCCAAGGGGATGGGTTAAATGCAGAATAAATGTCTCCAATGTGAGATCAATAAAGTTCAATTAGTTTTTTATTATTGTTATTTTGCTAAATATAAGTTATATAAGTTTGGAGCAAATGAGATCCATGACAACAAATTGATGTGGAAAGATGGGCTTCATGAAGACTGTTAAATATCTGCTTCAAGGGAATTTTTTCCCTCCTAAAGTAGTTTTCTTTTTTTAGTTTTTACGGCACTAGTGGCACGTTTTTTTTTTTTTTATCATATCATATCATAGCCTGACAGGAAAGGGGGTATGAGAGACGGAGGG